CAGATATCAGTGGCTCATGCCTATAATCCTAGCTTACTTAGGAGGCTGAGATCTGAGGATTGCAGTTTGAAGCCACCCCAGGCAGGAAAGTCCATGAGACTCATATTTCCAATAAACTACTCTAAAAAAGCTGGAAGTAGTACTATGGCTCAAGTGGTAGAGCCAAAAAGACACTCAGGGGTGGGCTGGGAAGGTGCCTCAGTGGTAGAGCGCTTGCCTTGCATGCATGAGGCCCTGGGTTCGATTCCTCAGCACCACATAAGCAGAAAAAAAAAGGCCAGAAGTGGTGTTATGGCTCAAGTGGGAGAGCACTAGCCTTGAGCTGAAGAGCTGAGGGACAGCGCCCAGGCCCAGAGTTCAGGCCCCACAACTGGACCCCCCCCCAAAAAAAAAGACTCAGAGATAATGCCCAGACTCAGAGTTCAAGCCCCAGGACTAGCAAAAATAAAATAAAATAAAATTCTTAAGTATAACTCTAACAAAATATATTTGAGCACTATAGGAAGAAAACTAAAACTATGATGGAAGATATAAAGGACTAAACAAAAGAAGAAATATTCCATGTATCCCTCATCAACCTAGCAACCAAAAAGGTAGGTACTGTTATCATTGATGTTTTTCCAGTGAGTCAACAGAGGTAAGTAATCCATATTTATATAGCTAAGTCGTAAAGCTGAGAAAAGGGAAGTGTGGTATTAGGTATTTAACATTCACAGTTTTGCTCATTTGCAAAGAACCCTAGAGACGTTTGATATAATGTAATCTTGCTATGACACAGAGAATTTTAAATTCTGCTTCAAAGCTGCTGTATATAGGCAGTTCCTTTAGCGGGCTATAGTTTGACCCATAACCTTCAACCTGCTACTCTTCATTTGTTATAGTCACAAATTCTTAAGACATCATACCTAATCCTGTTTTGTTGAGGAAAATAATAGGCTTGAAAATGTATGGACTACAAATGGGAGGGGCTTTCCGTACCTGTAGTCCCCATCAAAATCCTAGCACATTATTTTGCGAATATTGACAGACTGATTCTAAAGTTTATATGGAGAGGCAAAGGACCCAGTATAACTAACACAGTACTGAAGGAGAACAAATACTAAGGTCTATGTATGTCTTCAAAAATTACAATAAAGCTACAGTGACCAAGGTAATGCAAAATTGGTGAAAGAATAAACTGAAGTCAGAGGGAAAAGAACAGGGCCCCAGAAATAGACACACATAAATATAGTGAACTGGACTGTAACAGAAGAACAAAGCAAGATAGTGAAGCAATAGTAATATGGTCCAAAATGGGCATCAACTGCAAAAAGCAAACAAGTCTAGATGCACACTTAGGCCTTTCACAAAAATTAATTCAAATTGAACTAAAGACCTAAATAACAAAGGGCAAAACTATAAAAACTGTTTGGACATAATGGAAGGGAACACTTAGAAGGTCTTAAGTATGGTAACTGGCTGTTTGCCCAAAGGAACAATCTACCAAAAAAAAAAGTATTAAGCTGTCTTTTAAGATTAAAAATTGTTCTATGACATATTCTGTCTAGAGAACAAGATGAAGAAAACATTTTCAAAAGATTCAACTGATCAAAAACTACTATATAAAACAAAGAATTTTTTAAATTGAATTTCAAAAATTTTAAATGACCAAAACCTTGGACACTTCACCAAAGAAACTGTAAAGATGATAAACAAACATGTGAGACATGTTCCATATCATTTATTATAAGAAATTTCAAATTAGAGGTTGGAGATATGGCTCAGGTAGTAGAGTGCCAGCCAGTAAAAGCATCAGATACTGAGTTCAAATAATGTCTCAGAGAAAATAAACTTCATATTAAAATGAGATACTTAGAAATACTTCTAAGAGAATGATCAAAATGCAAAGCCCAACACCAAACACTAGCAAGGATGTAGAACAACAGGAACTGTAATTCATTGCTGGTGAAAACACAATGACATGGCCATTTTGGAAGTTATATTTGGCAGCTTCTTTACTGAAGTGAACTGCAAATGTGAGTCTATACAAAAGCCTCAGAACAGTGTTATATGTAACTACCAAAACTACAAAAACACAACCAACATGTCCTCCAATAAGTGAGTGGATAAGTAAACTGTAGCCTAGCCAGACAACAAAATACTATTCAACAACAAGAAAACAAAAACAAATGAACTAACAAGTTATGAAATATCACAGAGAAACCTTAAGATGTATTATCAAGTAAAAGAAGCCAATTAAAAAAAAATGCTACGAATGGTGTGATTCCAACTATGTGGCACTCTAGAAAAGACAAAACTATGAAGACAGAAGATGTATCAGCAGCCCCAGGGGTTAGAGAGGGAAAATGATAGGTAGGTAGAATACACAGAATTTTAGGGTAGTCAAAACTATTCTGTAAAGCACTATAACGGTAGTACATATAATTTCCAATTTGCCAAAACCCACAGAATATACAATACCAAGAGTAAACACTAGTATAAACTATAGACTTGTGGTGATCGTGATATGTCAGTGTATGTTCACTGATGGTACAAAATGTAACATGGGAGTGGGGGACACTGATAATGATAGGGCTTGGAGAAAGGCCAGGGACTAATGAGAGCTCTATCTTTTGTTCGAGTTTGCTAATACTATTCTAAAAAATAAAGTCCATTTTATTTATTTATTTAGTCTATCATGAGGCTTGAACTCTAGGCCTGGGCACTGTCCCTCAGCTCTTCAGCTGAGGGCAAGCACTCTACCACTTGAGCCACAACATCCCTTCCAGTTTTCTGATGGTTTTATTGGAGATTAGAATATCACAGAGTTTTCTGCGTGGGCTGGCTCTGAACCACAATCCTCAGATCTCAGCCTCCTGAGTAGCTAGGATTACAGGCATGAGCCACCTGCGCCCGGTTTAAAGTCCATTTGAAAAAAAAAAACAAACAAACTTATCTGTGTTCTTGTTGAAGAGTGGGATTTTGCAAAAAGTGATGATAATTTTTTTAAAAGCTAAAAAACAAATAGCAGAACTGAAAGATTATTTGGGGGAAATTTTCTCAGAGACCACTTAACCCTAAACATAGGGTTGCTAGGTGGTGGTTTTTCACTCTGAGGAGTGTAATATATTTCACTCCCTTGCCAACATTTGGAAACATTTTATCTGCAGAGATGATAATATGGACAGGTGCCCTGCAACTCAAGACCACAAGCTATGATATGCATGTCTGAAGAAAGGCAAGCTCCATTCTTACAAATCTATTTGTTTCAAAATTTATGAACATTCAGGAGAAAGTAATTTTAAATTTTAATTTAAAAAACTCATAGAAAAGTAGAGAAGATTCTGTTACCTTATTTTTTTCCTCCATTTTAGAAACAGTTCAACTTTTGGTACACTTACAAGAGGCCTAATTTGAGAACCTTTTTCTAGTCCAACCCTCTCACTTTAGAGAAGAATCAGAAGAACTTAATTAAGTCAAGGCTCATCCTATTGGTCTCAAGTTCTGCCTCTTCCAGCTCTGAAGTCCTAAGACTTCCAATTGTTTCTTCACTGCTATAGACTAATAGCTAATTTCTTCAAAAAGAAATAATATGGAGCTTGGGAAGTATATTATAAAAAGGCACATTCCCTCAGACTCAGTTCTCCTACTTTAATTATTATTATCTGTAAAGGAAAGCATAGACCTTAACCTTTTCTTGTCATAAATTCCCATCTGTGTAGAAGTTTACAATGTAAGTGTACAGAAAGCCTCTGCCACTTGCAGGCCATACATTTTCAAATCTATTATGTTCCTCAGCAAAACAGGATTAGGTATGATGTCATAAGAATTTGTGACTATAACAAATAGAGAAAGGCAGGGTTATGATTAGTTGAAGGTTATGGGTCAAACCATAGCCTGCTAAAGGAACTGCCGACATACACCAGCTTTGAGGCAGGATTTAAAATTCTCCATGTCATAGCAAGATTATATTATATCAAATGTCTCTAGGGTTCCTTGCAAATGATCAAAACTGTGAATGTTAAATACTTAATACCACACTTCCCTTTTCTCAGCTCTACCATTTAGCTATATAAATATGGACAAGTTACTTACCTCTATTTGTTGACCCACTAGAAAAACATCAGTGACAACATTAACTACCTTTTGGTTGCTGAGTTGAATAGATGAGGGATATAAATATTTTAAAACTTAGAACAAGGCTAGATGCTTGGCTTAACTGGTAGAGCACCTGCTTAGCAAGCGTAAGGCTCTGAATTCAAACTCCAGCATCATCAAAAAGGGGGCGGGGGGGGGGAAGCTCTAGAACAGTGTCTAATACAAACACACAATGATCACTCACAAAATGTTAGTTTATACTACACCTGGGCTTCATGAACTCAGCAGTATTGTTTCCATGGTTTGCAGAAAGGCATCTATATCTGCGGTGGAAAAGACAATGACTTTGGAACCTAAGGCTTAGGATTTAGACTATGGTCCATCAAATGAGTTATCTCTGTGAGCTATTTGACTTTTAGGGCTTTAGTCTATGAAATAAGGATGATAATATTGTTTCTTTCTACATTCATTTCTGCCACAAACATTCAAAGAGACTGACTGTGTTAAAGATAAAGCATAACACATCAACCACATTGAGTAAGGTACTAGGAGGCAGTTTATGTTAGTGGTTAGGTGACAGGCTCTACTGTCAAACTAACAAAACAAACTAACTCAAATCCTGGCTCTTCCATCTGGGAGTTGTGTGTGACCTTGAGCAAACTGACTATCTGTTCTTTGCCTGTTTCCTCATTGGTAAAATTAAGATAACAGTAACTACTCTTATGAAAAAATGCTAACAGGATTAAATAAGCAAACACATGTAAAACAATTGGAACAGTACCTGCTAGAGAGCAGTGCTAAGTCAACATTGTTTGTTCAGTAAACACTGTTAGCAATATTGTGATTTAGGGCAATTATTAGCCTAATCATAGCCCTGCTACCTTGCCCAGATGGTGTTTTAGAGAACAAACTATTTGCCTCACCCACTGTCCGGCAGCTTCAGCCTCTCGGTGCCAATCCTCCACCAGGGCCACCGCTTCCTCCCCACTCCCAGGATGGTGTGCCTGCACCCAGGTCTGCATATCCCTGGGTAAGATGGCCAGGAACTGCTCCAGCACCAGCAGCTCCAGGATCTGTTCTTTGAGGCGAATCTCAGGCCTCAGCCAATGACAGCAGAGTGCCCAGAGCTGGCTGAAGGCTTCATGGGGTCCAGCTGCATCTCTATATCGAAACTGCCTGAAGCGCTGGCGGGAGACCTCAGGACCAGGACCAAGGCCAGGGTTTTGGCCCCTCTCTTGGGATTTAGATTCTGATCCCCAGGAGTCCTCCTCCAGTTTCACAGTCAAAAGGTCTTCAGGCTCTGGAGGGGGAGGGGTCTGGACCTCAGATTCCAGGGCCACAGCCATCTTCAGCTGTGCTGTCCTCATCTGGTAACCTCCTTCATCAATGATGTGTTCTTCAAAGGGGTCCTGGGGGAGGGACTAAGAAGGCAAAAATACAATGGACAGAGTAAGCAAGAGGATCCATGAGTACTACTTTCCTCACTTCCTCCAAACCTTCCACCACTTTTGCAAAGCACAGGGTGCTGAGAGATGCTCCTTTCCCATGGACAGGAAGTTAGAACAGGATCTGGAAGCAAAGCCAGCAGCCAGGTCCCTTGGGTGGACAGCACAGAGTTACATGCTTGAGTCTATGCCTAACCTTAGACTAGAACCCTGAGCCAGAACATGGAAGCAACTTCCTGTTTATGTTTCAGTCAACAGACCATGTGTTACCTCCTTGAGATACCCTGTGCCCATGCTTTCCCTGCTCACCAAAAAAATGCTTCCCAGATCTTCTGTTCCCAAAGTGGCTGGAACACACCTCTTGAGATATGAGTTCTCCCACATTATTGAAAGTATCTGTTCCTATATCCGACAGCCCCATTAGGCTATATTAATAGGACCATCCATTCTGTATAGCTAGTATCTGATGCAGTGTCCAATAAATAGCAGGCCCATTAAAAAGTTTTGTTATTTTTTATTCAAACCATAAATCGGACATGGCAAAAACCTGATGATCTATCTACTGGGCACAGTCTACATTTATTAAAGAACTATTACTGATTTTTAAACCACCACGTTTCTGAGGCACTAGTCCAAACACATTTCTGTCTCTGTTTTGCACAAGGGTTAATTTATTAGTCATTCACTCACATTGTACTGGGAGCTAAATATCCAACAATAGCTAGGCCAGAAAGTCGTTGTCTTCATGAAAGCTACCATCTAGTGAGAGACAATAATAAGCAGAGACTTTTTGGTTCCTTCATAGAGGATATCACAACCACCAGGCAAGCAGCGATACCCTCAGGCCCAAAGTCAAGAGTCTCCAATAGTTGGTATTTCCTTCTGGGAAGACTAGAAAACCCCTAAAGTGAGTCTCAAATAGAAAACAGAAAACTGAAAGGACCATATATTAAAATTTTCCCATTTCTTTCTTAGACAACTATGGGTAACAGCCTATTGTGGAGAGGAGGTCAAAATAGTGAGCCCAGACCTAGACAAGGCAATCCTCAGTCCTGAAACTATCAGGAATATCTAGGCTTCACTAGGACTAGAAAGAATGGCCATTGAGTGTCAAATGATCTACATTCATATTCTCACCAAATGGTGGCAATTCTCACCAGGCAAGCCAATGGTGTGCTATTAGGGCTTAGTTGCATTCCATTTACCTACAACCTCCACTATATTCCAAGACCAGGAAGAGTGAAATAGCATAATTGAAACAGTGCATCCAATCCAATCACCACATCTGTTACAGCATGATCATGTGAAGATGATACCCATGATTGTGCCACTCCCTACTCTGGTCTTACTTCCCTTAAGCCCTGCTTTCTGTTGAGGATTTCCAAGCACTGATTTTTGTCTAGTGTAATTTTTCATTTTCTGTGCTGATGTTAGAATGTATCTAATAAAGTATGACCCCATTGTATTCTCAATTAATAACATTGTATGCCTCAGTTCTACAAAGAAGTTTTTTGGTTTTTTTTTTTTTTGCCGGTTGTGAGGGCCTGGGCGCTGTCCCTCGGCTCTTCAGCTCAAGGCTAGCACTCTACCACTTGAGCCATAACGCCACTTCTGGCTTTTTCTGCTTATGTGGTGCTAAGGAATCAAACCCAGGGCCTCAGGCATGCAAGGCAAGCACTCTACCACTAAGCCACCTTCCCAGCCCCAAAGAAGATTCTTCTAAGGTTACACAACCAGCAAGTGGTAGAGTTAGCTAGGAGGTAGGCCCAGATTCAAATCCTCCAATGGGAGGTTTCTCTCTCTTTTTTTTTTTTGCTAGTCCTGGGGCTTGTACACATGGCCTGGGCTCTGTCTTTGAGCTTCTTTTGCTCAAGGCTAGTACTCTACCACTGCAGTGCCACTTCCAGGATTTTCTGTTTATGTGGTACTGAGGAATCGAACCCAGGGTTTCATGTGTGCTAGGCAAGTACTCTACCACTAAGCCACATTTGCAGCCCACATTGGTCTTTTAAACCATTCCTTCCCCACACATGGTAGTCATTCAGACAGCTGAAAACATGAAAATCACTTTAAAAATGAGCTAAGAAGCACCTTGGGTCCTGGGGTATTGAGTATAAATGGGAAGATGAGGAGGTTGCTTCCTCATGAACTGTAATGGGAAGCAGAAGATTCTCCTCAGGACTAGGAGAAAGGCCAAGACTGGTCTGCGACTTCCAAGCAGAATCAGGGAGCTCTCAAAGGCTGTCAGTCCCCCTTGGCTGATGTCTTAAAGCAAAATGATCTCACTTAAGGTGGTAAACCTTAGGGACATCAAATAAGTTTCATTTAGAGCATCAATTCCAATCAATTGAAGGTGACTGCCTAGAACAGAGTAGCATGCTTAGTAATATGGCTCCCAAGTTGTCTATCATGGATAAAACAGAAGTGGCAGCATACATTCCAGGTATTTGCCACCTCCTGTCTTGCCATTACCATCTGCACTGAATCAGCCTCAGCTTCTATTAGGTTCAAATATCTTAGCTAGCCTGATACTCCAGACCCTTCATGAATACCCTTCCCAGCCCAATCCTCAGCTTCTATTAGGTTCAAATATCTTAACTAGCCTGATACTCCAGACCCTTCATGAATACCCTTCCCAGCCCGATCCTCACATACCCCCATGCTTTGCTGTCAAGTATGTTTCTTCCAGCAGACAGCCAAAAAGACAGAAGAGTAAAGTTCATGCCCCTGGAAATCCATGGCAATCTGGTATAATAACAAAGTTTGCCCTGATCATCTCTATTCACACTTTCACCAAGTATCTATTGACAGAGTAACAGTTATGTTGGTTCTTGAAGAAAGAGTGGATCTCTTGACAAAGAATGGGGAGATGGGTGTTCTAAGCAGAAAGAACAACATACATAATGGTAGAAAACCAAATGGCCTTCCCAACAAATGGGGAAAACCCTTGACAGCCCTGCTGAGAGATAGGACAATCAGGCTGTGAAGGGAGTTTATGAAGGGTCCGGAGTATCAGGCTACGATGTTTAAACTTAATCTAACACGTGATGAGAGCAGGAGATGTGGAGGGATTAAATAGATCATACTGGCAACAATGTATCTGACCACTGTGGAGGCAGAAGCAAAAAGATGAACATTTCTGTGAAAGTTTTCACACAATGGGAGCAGATTCAAGACGTCTTAGAGAGAGCAAACGGAGCGACGATCCGTGAGTGTTAAAGAATACAAAAGGATCAGGTGATGTAAGTGGGCAAGGTGGATGGCGATGCCACTCACTTCCATCAGGAATACGGAAAGAAGTGCGGGTTTAGGGCAGAGCATGACAGTCCAGCCTGACAGGTTCTAATAGCGGTACCAACCAGCAGAGGATTGATAACATGTTAAATGGTCTAGGCGGGCAGATAGAAAATGAAATGCGATTTTTACGATCGGGCCCTCTTTTCTTCACGTGCCAAGGCCCCCAAATGTCCTACCTTCCCCTGGTATTCTCTTCAGACACCCCCCCCAAACACACACACACACACACACACACACACACACACACATACCCGAGGTGACTCCCCACTTCCAAAACCTGTCTTTCCCTCCTCACGCACACACAGGCTTTTCTAAGGTCTCTTTTCAGTCCCTGGGCCTCAAACTCCCTCCTCGTCCCCGACCCCTTCATGACCCTGCCCATCCCCTGACGCCCCTCACCCTCCACCCCACTAAAATTGCTTTTCTCCTCTCACATTCCCCAGCCCCCCTGTGACAGACTCTACCACCGCCTAAGCCTCCAACCCCTGCCTGAGTCTCGGATGCCCCCGCCCCACCACCCGGACTCACCCACCGAGACACCCACTTCACAACCGGGCGGAAGTGCTCCGGGGCTCACGCGGGGGATGCTGGGACGCTGAGTCCCGACGAAGCCACCCCGGGAATCTAGCTTCCTAGACCACAACTCCCAGAAGGCACCGCGCAAGAGCCGGTGAGTGGCTCCCTCTTCTGCCGTCTTTCAAATGTCATCAGCCAATAGGCATGTGTTCTTTTCATGAACTCTAGCACCGGAACAAATCGGAACAGGTTCAATGCCTGGGGGCGGAACCTGATGCGATTCTGACCATTTCTATTGGCTCCGTGGTAATGACATCCTCAAGGTGGGCGGGCACCAGAGCAAAAGGGGTAGGATTCATTGAAGACCCCCTCCACCCCCACCTCCGGCGCCCCAAGACAGCAAAGCAGAAATAATAAATAATAAGGGAAAAGCGGAGGAAACCAGATAATCAGTAGAGAATTGGAGAATCTGAGGTTCAGTTTCCAGCTTGGGATGAATTCTGAACCTTGCCTGTTAATCTGTAAAATGAGATCTACAGGAAAGCACTATGTCACCGGTTTATGTTAGAAAGTACAGCTAATATTATACATTATCCATTATTATGTAAATTAGTTTGTATAGTGCTTGGCATTTTGTGGGTGTTAATGTTAATCATTATTATAGAATATACCTGTAATGATATAATATGTAGATGTAGTGCCTTTGTTCCATTGTGAATATTTTGAGGTGTGAGCAATCATCTATGGAGTTAAAAATGTGGCTTCTGTAGTCAGATATGGATCCAAATCCCCACCCAGCTGCTTTTCTGTGTGGCCTTGAATAAGAACCTCATTGCTTTTCTTTTCTTTTCTTTTTTTAAACCTGCAAAAGCAGGTATAACAGAAACCACATGGCAGTAAAGGATTAAATGACATGATGTGGGTAAAATATGGTCCCTGGAGCTGAGCTGCTTGTGTCTAAAACTTCTCATTTTCAAGCTCACTAGCTAAAAAAATTAGTGAGTGGCACAAAGATATGAAACCTTGGACAAATTCCTAAACCTCTTCATGTTTCAATTTCCTCATCTAGAAAGTGGGGATGAATTTTTATTTTTTTTATTTTTTGGGTTCAGTTGTGGGGCCTGAACTCTGGGCCTGGGCGCTGTCCCTCAGCTCTTC